TGTCCTCAGCATTGTACATGATAAAGTAAGGAAAAGGGGGACAGAGAGCAAAGGGAAAGATACAAAAAACTAATTTGGGTCTCACCTTTAGGTTTGTGTATGTGTGTTACACCCTGCAGGCAGTACGTAAATCTGTAGTGACAGCTTGGGAGTCTTCTGATGTGCCACTAAGCAGCGCTGTTCTACAGCAGACTATGTCAGCCCTCTTAAGCCTTCAGTCCTGCTTACACTCCTGGGCTACTAGAAACTTTAAAGTAATATGTTTATAAAGAAATTAACTTTATAAACCATTCCTGCCCTAAACCAACTGTAGACTATTTATGTAGAGTTAAAATCATTCTTCTGAATTTGTTTAACAAATAAAAGAATGGGATTCTTTAAATAGTCACGAGTTCTGATATGACTGGCTGATTTAGACTGAGGTTACACTGCAAAAATCTGACCTGAATCTGATTTGGAAAATAACATAGGAAAGTGGCCCAAATCAGAATTGAAAAAATCTGATGAGTGATTTGTGCAGTTCATGTTGCTATGAGAAAATTCAAAAAACAATTGTGTCATTTGTGTGGATGTAGATTTATACAGAACAATGGCAGTTGAATATGAAACTAGGTTATCTTTAATGTAATAGCTAATTATACTTACATTTAAGGCTCCTACCATAAGATCAGTGTAATACTCAAGTCTATTACAGTATAGACCAAGGACATCTTCTCTGAACTAATATGCAGAAACTGCACCGCTTGCTGGTCATGTCAATTTCAGATTTTAACTAAGAGGAAGCTACACATCCTTGAATGAAACAAGATCTATGTGCCAGGGTCAGCCTACACTTTTTGGAACCCTGTAGAATCTCAATCCCCAAAAAGGATTGTAGTAGAAAAGTGTACATTAAAGCAGCACATTTTTCTTTAATATTTAATATGGTGTACTGAAAACTAAAACAGCAAACTGGCAAGCAAGTTAGTATAGTAGTTAACTACACTAATGCTTTCTCCTAATTAGCAGTTTAAAAGTAACTTTACAATAAACTGACCACTTAATGAAACTTAGAAAAAATAACTTTGGAAAATAATCTATTCAGTAGTTTCATTTTATTGTTAGGCACAGAAATATAGAAGCAGTTCACAAAAGAGAACATTCCTTCGATAAATACATACATTCTGAAAAATAATCAGATAAAAGTTTTGCTTATGGCTGAGGGCTTTATTATTATTTCCTCCGCCAAGGAGGTAAACTTGTAAACTTAGCTACTGGCTGAGACGGCAGCCCCTCCTTCAAACCCCTCTCTACAAGTCATACCTAGAGGTAGTGAATCACACCAACATCTAGTTGATGTTATTTTAGTTAACTTTACTTGCTGCACATACAGATTGGAAAATATCACATTTAATTTTGTACTAATAATGAAAGGTTTTTTCTGAGACTGAAAGAGTACAGAACTAACTGAAGTAAAGAACTGAAAGACAAATATTTGTTTATATACTCAAAGAAGAGAACTAACTGACAGATCTATAGGTAAAACTACTGTATGTTAAAATGAAGCTCAAATGGTTTCCGGATCTTGACTGAGGTCCCAGAAGAAGCAATTCTTCTCCAAGAGGGTTTTTGTTGTTGTTGTTGTTGTTTCGACTAGATTATCAAACCAGTGCTGACCCTAGTTGATAATTAGTTCAGCCAAATAATATATCTGACATCACAAGTAAGCCTTAATTGTAGGGTCACTTTGGTAAATTGCAGGGTTTACAGAAATTATGTCTACACTGCAGTGCAGACATGTACATAATGTAATAGTTCTTCACTTAAGATAGCATTTTGTTAAGTGAATATATGATTTAGCTTAACTGTGACTTCTTTGCTTTTCACTGTCAGAAGACAGGGTAGGCTGAGGTCCATTTATGTTGGGTACAACTGCTGGTGATGCACCCTCAAAGGGCCATAGCTGATCCATAAGGTACTAGTATGCACCTGCAAAAGTTGACGGGACAATATGACTTCCAAACTGAGAAAGGGTCTATGTCTGTAACGATAAAGACATAGGATATGCCGATATTATTTGGGTTATAGGAGAATTCTTTAAATTCACATAGATGTATACAGGAGAAAAATGCTTTCTTTAAAACCTAATTCAAGACTTGGATATGAACACTTTTCTGATATGTGCAAAGATCACGTCCAACCTTTTCAAGAAGATGGTTGGACGAACTAAAGAGGGAGGTTGTGTTTGCACAGTCGAACAAGTCCGCAACTGAAGGAAAACTTTGAAAAACTCCTAATTTGATGAAAAGCAGCTCCACTTGTTCCACTTCTACTTTTAGCTTTATATGTCACACTGCTAACTTGCAGACTTCTTAGTCAATTTTTATTTTAATTTCTGTACAGCTCTTTATGCATTTAGTTAATTATCCGGCCATTTTGTACATATTCTATTTTTTTTATCTTTATTTATATTTTTCTAGCTTGATTGTAATTCCTATGCACCAATGCACCAAGGCAAATTCCTCATATGTGTAAACTTACTTGGCAATAAACCTAATTCGGATTCTGATTTACTACGGAGACAACATGACTGACAGTTTGAAAAAGATGGAAAGGAAAAGAAAAAGAGAGAGGGAGAAGGAGGGAAATTCCAAAGTAGGTTGAACTGAGTATGCACAGCTGCATGTTAATGGGAATATTACTGGAATATTTATTTTCATTAGCTATTTAAACAGCTTAGTAGGAATATTGTCTTTTTAGAAATAAAAGGGCAAAACCCAAAATAATTTGTGCATGTAAACTATTAACTGACATGGACAATAATGTAGGGCCTATGCCAAAAACTCCACCTAGATGCACTATTGAGAAATTTTAAAGAAAGTCTCTGTAGCTTCATTCTTAAATGTAAAGAAAAACAGACTGTCCATAAGATAAGATAATAAATAATTATGTTATCTTGTTATGTAGAATTAATTGTATTTTATTTAAATAATGAATTGTACATTATTCTGAAAAACATTTGAATACATTAAAGAGGGGTGTGACTTCAAAAGGGAAATATAAAGGGCGGGTGGGCTATAAAAATGGGGGAAAGCTAATGCTATATCAACTGTGTGACTAAAAGGGGGGGGGGTTCCAAAAAATCTAAACATTTTCAAAACTATTTTTGAAAAACTATTAACTATTATCACACGTAATTTGTTAACCTGACTGCCAATGGTCTCTTACACAGAAGCATCTGGGAAGTAAGTATTGGAAACTGTTTGGGAAAGGGCAGGCACATTCAAAAATCTAGATCAGTATCTGTTCAACCAACTAAATTATCTGTATTTCTGTATTTCTACATTTTAAGTGTATAAAGTGTATTTTTGATCTCGTGTGAGAAAAAATTGCTATCATAAGGTACAAAGTCACAGTACCCTCAAAAGCCAAATTTGTTTCCAAGGGTACCGCTAGAATTGCCAAACACCTTCTTTTCCTAAATCTATTTTAGTTTTTAAAGTGACAATACCTGCCTCTCATTTTAAGAAGCAGAGCAGCTGGACAGCCACTGTATTAGATGGTTTAGGATGGACCTGTCAGGAGTAAAGGTGGATGTAGTAGGTGAAACCTCTGTGTTAAAGAGCTGCCAGCAACAGTGGCTGGGTAACTATCAGTGGAGGACAGGTGTCCTTTTTCCCTCCTTGTGTAAGCATACATGGGAAGCAATGGGTCACGTTTCTGTGCCCTCTGTGGTTAAGATAGTCCTAATGAACATACAAGTGGAAAACACACCTGTGAAAGGCCCCAGTAGGGTTTACCTATATGACAATACAACTTTTTTTCTATAAAGTTTTATATAGCGGTATCTCTCCTGTTAATATCTCTGGGTGTATCAATATAATCAATTCACTGCTTCATGGCAATATTGGATTTTTATATGATTTTTACAATTAATGTGATAAAGTACCTTGATTTGTAGGAAGTCAGATATTGACAGGGTTTGTTAATGATAGAGTGCTACTCCACCAATAAGGAAAAAGAGATAGTAATACAGTAAATCAAAGGAATCAGTCTGCACCCTGAGCACTCTGGTATATCAACAGTTTAGTTTAAACTTCATAGGAATACACAGAAACAGAAAAAGCAATTAAATAAAAAATGATATATGAATATAAAATTACTGTGCAATACCATATCATATTCACTGTGCAATTTATTGCCCATGTGCAACTGCTGCT